TAAACTAGCATTCAAGGTTATATATCATGGCGTTTTTTGAACAAAATGTGTTGGAGTAGATTTTCCTTTGCCTTCCTCATGGAGATCCTCCTACCTGTGCCTCCCAAGAGGAGGGCTTAAAAATGTGTGCTACCATGCCTGGCAGCTGAAACTTTGATTTCATGTCGTCTCATTGGTTGAGTGTAGGGGCTAGATGGTAGCATCTGATGAATTATTGTACACCATGCAACTGACACAAGCAAAATAAGCCATGTACGTGAGCCGGAAGGAGGCTCAGCGGTTAAGAGCACTGGCTGCTCCTTCAGAGGACCCGGGTCTGATTTCTAGCACTCACATGCGGCCTCACAACCATTTCTACCTCCAGTTCCAGGGGATCCAGCACCCTCTTCCAGCATGCAGGAAAACAGACATAAAATAATAATTTTAAAAAAGACAGATGCAGAGCAAGGCATGGTGGCACACGCCTTTGATCCCAGCACTAGGGAAGCAGAGGCAGGCGAATCTCTGAGTTCAAGGCCAGCCTGGTCTACAGAGTGAGATCCAGGACAGCCAGGGCTGTGACAGAAAATCTGTCTGGAAAAACAAATAACAAAACAACAACAAAAGTATACAGAAAAAGGACTTGCTCTTGGCCACCCTTGCCCCTTCCTTAACTCCTGGCAATAGCAAGTCTGGATTTCTAAATATTGTCACTGGAATTGAATTATGCTATGCAGCACAAAGCCGTTGGGGGTGGCTTTATTATTCTTTTATTAATGATAGGGACTAAATCCAGGGCCTTGCTCATGCAAGGCAAGTGCTCTGCCACCATGCTCCATCCCCAACTCAGGATGGCCTTTTTCCTCAGCCTGATTGTCTGGAGCTACAGTGAAGTTGTATGTATCAGTGGTTTGTTCTTTTATTGTACTGATCAGGGTACTGTGTGCATACCACACTCTGCTGAAGCATTCATTCACCTGCTGATGAACATGTATGCTTCCAGTTTGTGGTGATTGAGAATAAAACTTCCATGGTCTATAAACGTGCATGATTTTATGTACCTATAAAATCTATGACCCACAAATAAGAGAAAACATTTCTCTGAGTCTGGCATATTTAGCTCATTTCTGGTTTTGTTTTCCATTGCTGTGGTAAAACACTAACCAAGAGCAACTTATGGGGAAGGGGGCTTATCGGTTTACAGGTTTCAGTCCATCATTGAGGGATGAAACCTGGAGGCAGGCACTGAAGCAGAGACAATGGAGGCATGCTGTTTCCTGCCTTGCTCCCCAAGGTTTACTTTGTTTTACTTGGTTATACAACCCAGGACTGTTTGCCCAGGGTTGGCACCACCCACAATGGGCTGGGCCCTCCCATATCAATCAATAATCAAAAATGTGTCCCACAGACCAAGCTAATGGAGGCAATTACTCAATTGAGATCCCCTCTTCCCAAGTATGTCTGCATTTGTGTGACGTTGGCAAAAACCAAATATGACAGCTGATCTCAAGTCCATTCTCCCCAAAACAATGCAATTCATTCTTTATGGTTGAACAGTATGGTTGAACATACCACATTTTCTTTTTAATTTTTATTTTAGCCGGGTGGCAGTGGCACACACCTTTAATTCCAGCACTCAGAAGACAGAGCCAGGTGGATCTCTGAGTTCGAGGCCAGCCTGGTCTACAGAGCAAGATCCAGGACTGCCAAGGCTACACAGAGAAACCCTGTCACAAAAACAACAAAAATTTTTATTTTAATTTTTTAAATTATATATATATATATATATGATGTGGGTGCAGGTGTTTATAAGACTAGTAGAGGGTGTCAGATCCCCTGGAGCTGCAGTTCCCAGTGTGAGATCTGGGAACTGAACTCTGGTCCACTGAAGAACAGGAAGTGCTCTGTCAAACACTTATCCATCCTTCCAGTCCCCATATCATAGTTTCTTTATTCAGTCTATAGAAGGATAGCCAGACTGACTCCATGATTTGGCTATTGTGAATAGTGCAGCAATAAAGATGGGTGTACCGGTATCTATCTCCTTAGTGAGCTGATTATATGTATGCAGGGATTGTAGAGGGGGTCATATGGTGGTTACATTTTTTATAGTTTTGTTTTCTTTTGTTTTGTTTTTCGAGACAGGATTTCTCTATATAACCTAATCTGTCTTCGAACTAGCAGTGTAGACCAGGCTGACCTCTATCTAAGAGATCCTCCTGCCTTTGCCTCCAGAGTGCTGGGATGAAAAGTGTGCACCACCACTGCCCGGCCCATTTTTAGTTTTTTTTCTTTTTTGTTCATTTGTTTGTTTTTTTCAGAGGGTCTATAAGACCCATCACTGAATACAAAAATGTATGCAATTTTTAAAGGGGCTTGGAGAGATTGCTCAGTGATAAGAGCTTTCTGTGTAAGCATGAAAACCTGAGTTCAGATCCTCACACAAAAGCTGGGAATGTCTGTGCATACTGCTATCCCCAGCACTGAAGGGTAGAACCAGGGGGATCCTGGAGTTCCCCCACCCCAGTAGCCAGAACAATGAGTTCTGCAGGTGCAGTGAGAGACCCTGTCTCAGGAGAACAAGGTAGACTGGGATAAGACAGGATACCCTGGCTTCCTCTGGCTTCCGAATTGATATGTGTTCACACATGTACACACACCACGACACACACCATAAAACTGTCAGACATTTAAACCACAATAGCCTGGCGGTGGTGGCGCACCCTTTAATCCCAGCACTCGGGAGGCAGAGCCAGGCGGATCTCTGTGAGTTCGAGGCCAGCCTGGTCTACAGAGGGAGATCCAGGACAGGCACCAAAACGACACAGAGAAACCCTGTCTCGAAAAACAAACAAACAAACAAAAAAACACAATAGCTGGGGATGCAGGTCACTTGGTGGAGTACTTATGGAGGAGACCCTCGACCCCAATACTATATAAAAACCAACAAGGGTGATGCACCTTGCAAACCAAAAACATGGGAAACGAAGACAGAAGGATCAAGAAAGGTACACACACACACACACACACACACACACACACACACACTGAAGCCGCACATGGACGGGCATGCCTATAATCCCAGAACTCCATGGGAGACTGAGGCAGTAGGATTGCTGAGAGCTGGAGGACAGACCTTGTTTCAACAAACTAAGCTTGCTGAGAGCAGTCATTGCCAAGCTGTTGCATGAGAATAGAGCTCAGCAATGACACTGCCAAGTCATGTGGTACTTGCAGGTTTTCAGAGCCTGTAAACTTTAGGAGAGTAGAAATACCATTGTGCATTCCCACCAGCTATTAAGAAATGCTCCACTGCCGGCAGTGATGGCTCACTCCTTTAATTCCAGTACCTGGGAGGCAGGGGCAGGAATCTTTGTGAGTTCCAGACCAGCCTGGTCTATAGAGTGAGTTCGAGGACAGGCACCAAAACTACAGAGAAACCCTGTCTCAGAAAAAAAAAAAAAAAAAAAAAAAAAAAAAACATGCTCCAATTTCTTCCTATTTGGTGTGGTCACTAATTGTATTTGTTGCAGTTATTCTGATAATGGTATAGTGATATTTCATTGTAATTCGAGACAGGGTTTCTCTGTGTGGCTTTGGAGCCTTTCCTGGAACTCACTCTGTAGCCCAGGCTGGCCTCAAACTCACAGAGATCGGACTGCCTCTGCCTCCCAGGCGCTGGAATTAAAAGCGTGCACCACCACCACCTGGCTGTAATTTAGGTTGTTTGTTTTTGTTTTGTTTTCGGAGACAAGGTCTCTTGAAGCCCAGGATGGCTTTAACTTGTCACGTAGCGTAGCGGGGGTGGAGGGGGGTGGGGAGGTGTGACCTTGCATTCCTGATTCTCCTGCCTCCACCTGCTGAGTGTTGTGATTACAGACATATCTCATCATGCCTGAGGGCAGTGTGGGTTCAAAAGTTCCAAGGAAAGATCTGGGCAGAGATGCCGGAGGGAAAATGGTGATAAGAACAAATTGTATGAATTTTCAATAGTTAATCAGAAATCTCCTGACTTTGGGAATCTTCTACTCTAATAATTGGACATAAATTCATGAACTTGTTCCACTGGAGAGAAAAACGCTGCCGCCCTGGGATTTATGGAGTTGCCCTACCCTCTGCAGACAGCAGAGGGCCTCATTAGCACAAACTCAATGTCCCTGGCAAACACATGAAAAGGGAAGTTAGCCAAGGTTCCAGAAGCACGGTAAAACTTTAACAGAACTGGGCAAGAAAATTGACTGCTCAGCTTAATTCTGTTTAGGGAGGAAAAAAAGGACAATGGGGGTTGGACAGAGCGTTCTTATTGTTCCCCTCTTTGTGGTTGAAAAGTCTTCTAAAATCCCTGCGTTGTTTTCACTACCTCAGCTAGTAATCAGGAGGGATCCTCGTTAGGGTCGCTAGGCTTGCAAAGGAAAGGTTTTGGGAGAAAACATAAAAAACAAGACTTACAGATAAAGACACTGAACACTGTATTATTTTAAATGTAATTGTCTTAAAGACAGGGGGAAAGGGAGACTGACTGGGAACTTCAGTACATAGGCACCCCAGCTTTTCTTTTTTGCCTCATATATCCTGGCCTGGGTGCCAGACAGGTTGCCAGATACGCCAATGGGCACAGAGGAGCGTCCAACAGAATCCAGCTTCTCTAGGCAAGGCACCAGGAAAGAGGCAGCCTGGCAAGACAGGACACTTTTCAACACGACTGCTCTGCTGCAGCAGCCAAATACCATAAAGAGAAATGGCCCCAACTCACCCAGGCCAGTTCGGACCGAGTGACAAACCGAAATTCCCACTCTGGTCAGGATATGAGGTAAGTTCTCTCACCTGCGCCAAGTTTCAGAAAAGTGCCTTGTACGGAGGGGCCTTTTAAATAGCAAGGCCAACACGGCTGGGCATGGTGGCGCAGGCCTTTAATCCCACCACTGGGGAGGCCAGAGGCAGGGGAATCTCTGTGAGTTTGAGGCCAGCCGTCTACAACGTGAGTTCCAGGACAGCCAGAACTACCCAGAGAAACCCTGTTTTGAAAAACCAAAAAAGAAAAAAAAAATGAATGAATGAATGAATGAATGAAAAAGAAACAAGGCCAGGCAACACTCATACTAACGTTTTCTTTGTCGTTTTCTGTTTGTTGTTTGTGTTCCTGAGATGCGTTTAACCGGATATCCTGGTTTTCACTGGGTTATCCTAATTTTAAGTGAATCTTGATCCTGAGACTGAAGTCTAGCAAATTGTCACCATCCCAAGCGTGGGCAAGGAAATGGTAAGAAGTTCTCTGGAGGCAGCATCAAGTGGGTAGGTCCTGGGCGCCCCTCCCCCCACCTGGATGGCTGCTTTTGTTTTTGTTTTTGTTTTTGTTTTTGTTTTTGGAGACAGGGTTTCACTGTGTAGCCCTGGCTTGATGGCCGCTTTTTAAAATTCTCAGCAGATGCATGTCTTGCTCCCTCTTGCTCATCTATCCTAAAAGTCAATTATGGGAACAAAAAAAAGAAAAAAAAGGAGTTCAAACTCATGTGTCTTCTCCAAGGAAGATTGCTGTGGTAAATGTCTCTGGCAGGATTGTTATGTGGAGTAAATGAGATAAAGCAAATGGGGAAAAAAAGGCCCTCAATACCCAGGAGTTGTTCAATAAATGTTCTTTTTCTTCTTTCTTATTGTAGCCCAGGCTTACCTGGAACGCTGTTTTCATTAAAAATTCATACAGTACATCCTAATCACCATGTCCTCTCCCGCATCTCTGCCCAGATCTTCACTTGGAACTTTTGATCACCCTGCCTAGCTCTCTGAGCGTGAGATCACAGATAGCACAGATGTGCATGCACCACAGCACTGGGACACCGAGTCTCTCTCTCATCTCTCTTCTGCCCTCTCCTGCTCGCTTCCCCTCCCCTTCCTCAACAAAAAAAATCTCACCAAGCAGTCCAGACTGGTTTTGAATCCACGATCATTCTGCTTCAGTGTCCTAAGTGCTGAAAATAGAGGCATGCATGATGGCCATCTCACTCCCCTTCCCTTACTTGAACATTAAAACTAATGTTTGGACATCCTCGCCCTGCCTTTGGCCCAGGGATGAAAACGCCTCTGACCCTACGAACCTTGAATGCCATTATTAGTTTAACAATCAATGCTTCCATTAAAAAAAATAAACCATGTTAATGCAAATCCAGGCAGTATGAACTGGCAAGGGGTAAAAAGGAAGTCTCTCTCTCTCTCTCCTGTCCCAGGCTGCAGTTATCTACTTCCCTCCAGTCAAGTGCTGTTACCAATTTATTCTTCCAGAGACATTCTATGCATGCATATGCCTATATATAACCTTCCCCCCCTTCCCTCCCCTCATGTGAGCAATGGATTCCCTGTTCCATACCTTCACATGCTATTTTTAGCTTCGAGCGGCCTGGCTTTACTAGGGTACTGACCAGTGGTTGATCCTGAGGGTACTTAGGAAAAATAGCCCTTTGAAACTTGTTGCTACCGCTATTGGAAGGATGTTGTCAGGATGTTGTTCATTGTATCCCACAGCATCCTCTCAGAGGCCCCTGGGAGGAATTCCTGTCTGATCTTAGTACTGAGACCAGTTGCCCTTCTGAGCAATTAGTATTTTTTTTTTATCTCCTGGACATTGTGAATTGTGTAACAGCAAGGTTTCCCCTTCCTGTTGGCTGCTAGAAAGCTTAAAGCCAACTTTTGCCCCCCCCCCCTTGTGGCAGCATGGCATGCGTTTGGAGCCTTGTGCTTGGGTGTGCTTTGAGTCCACCTCCTGTTTTCCGACCTTTAATCTATGCCATCTTAACCTGTCTCGTGTGTCTTTATAAGGTATCTGAAATCCTTTAGGAAAGGCCATGTGCTTGGGATAATGAGTTGACTGCCCGACTGTTGACTCACTGCCTCCAGCCTATATGCTCCTCTGCCTTAACCCCCCCTGGATCTTTCTAGCACTCTCCATACTCCCCTCTGGCTTGCTTAGCAGTGCTATCCCCCCTCCAAACTTTATCTCCTTGTCCTTCACTGCTTTGAGGCTTTGATGGAAGCGACATGTTTGTCACTGTCCCCTCCCCACCCCTATACTCACTTTCACATTCATTGTGCACAGTTGTGCTTGTTTTCATCATTCTAGAACAGAAATTTTGGGACTTGGATCTATATTAGGATCATCTTTTAAAATTTTGTTTAAAGATTTATTTTATGTATATGAGGTGTTTCGCTTGCATGCATGTCTATGCACCACATGTGAGCCTGGTGCCTATAGAAGTCAGAAGAGGATGCCAGATCTGGAACTGGAGTTATGGATGGTTGGGAGTTACCATGTGGGTGCTGGGAATTGAACCAAGGTCTGCTGGAAGAACAGCAAGTGCTCCTAACTGCTGAGCCATCTCTCCAGCCCCCATCACATTAGGATCATTTACCATCCACCCAAGATTAAAGACTGCAGCTTGCAGCTAGGCAAGCAGTGTATGTCAAGCTGGACCATGCTGAAATGAGTTCTTTATTAAATTCCTAAGCCATATGCATTGAATATGCAGGGTGGTATGCCAGCTCTCCGAAGGTTGAGGCAGGAGGATCACAAGTTCCAGGTCAACCTGAATTTCACAACAAGAATCTGTTCAAAACAGCAACCAAATGATGATGAATGTTTCAAAGGAGTTGTATACCATGGAAACCATCCCTTAAAGTTAGAAAGACCAAAAAGGCAAATACTCTGCAGAAAAGAGCATGAAAATCCTACAGAAAAATTAGGATTTCTATGTATCCCAGCTTTGTCATGAGCAGCAAAGCAATATCCACTAACTCCTTTCTGTTCCTCAGCCTTGGGATTCATAATTCATAATAAACAAACAAACACCAGCCTGGTCTACAGAGCTAGTTCCAGGACAGCCAGGGCTACTCAGAGAAACCCTGTCTCGAAAAAACAAACAAACAAACAAACAACAATGAAAATCAAACACAGTGAGAGGATGTCAAGGGCCCTCTGCCTTTGACAGTTTATGAACAAATACCCGCCAGGCTGCTCTTGAGTTCTCTGTGTAATCAAAGACGGCCTTCTGATCCTCGTGGCTCTGCCTCCCATGTGCTGGGACTGGCTGCAGCATGCCACCCCAAGTTCAGTAGTCCTCACCTTTATGGCTGGCCTCTATCCATTCCTGCCTGGGCCCTGCTGTGGGGAGAGTGAACCCCCTGGCCTCATCTGCCTACAAGACCAGGCTCCAAACAGTTGGATGATTCTGCTTCTTGACCACAGAAGGGAGCCTTGCAGTTATTAATTTTTCCAAGCTGGCAACAATGCTCCTATGGAAATTCAAGTTGACCCTTGTAGGAAGTTTAAGGGGAGGCCAGGCAGAGGCTCGGACAGGCCCACTACTTAGCTGATTGCTTTGTCCTTCTGAGGTGCCAACAGCAGGCAGAATGGCTCAAGAAGAAGCCGTTTCTCTGTTAATAGCTCCAGCCTCATTAGAGACGACAGTACTCCGCAGTAAGACAATAGCAGCAGCCTCTTCCTCAGAGTGGCTTTAAAACAATATTTATTTATTATATACAATGTTCTGCCTGCACATAAACCTTTATGCCAAAAGAGGGCACCAGATCTCATTATAGATGGTTGTGAGCCACCATGTGGTTGCTGGGACCTCTGGAACACTAGCCAGTGCTCTTGACCTCTGAGCCATCTCTCCAGCCAGAGTGGCTTTTTTTTTTTTTTTTTTGGAGACGGGATATTGCTATGCAGCTCTGGTTGGCTTTGTACCTGCTGTATAGCTGAGGCTGCCCTCAAACTCCCCACAATCCTCCTGCCTCAGTCTCCCTAGTGCTGAGATGGCAGGAATTGTGTGTGTGTGTGTGTGTGTGTGTGTGTGTGTGTGTGTGTGTGTGTGTATGTGTACACCAAGCCAAGCATTTGGAGTTCAGAAGAGAATTTGAAAGAGTTGGTTCTCTCCTTCCCAGGGATCAAACTCATATCATCAGGCACAAGTGCCATCTCACAAGCCTGCAATGTTGACTTGAAATTGATATGTTTTGCTGGGTTTGGTGGCATGCACTTGTAATCCCATCACTTGAGAGGTGGAGGGAGCCACTGCTGGTGGGAATGCAAACTTGTACAGCCACTCTGGAAATCAGTATGGTGGTTTCTCAGAAAATTGGGAATAAGTCTTCCTTAAGACCCAGCTATACCACTCTTGGGCATATATCCAAGGAATGCTGATCATACCACAAGAGCACTTGCTCAACTATGTTCATAGCAGCATTGTTTGTAATAGCCAAAACCTGGAAACAACCTAGATGCCCCTCAACTGAGGAATGGATAAAGAAAATGTGGCACATATACACAATGAAGTACAACTCAGCAGTAAAAAAACAATGATATCATGAAATTTGCAGGCAAATGGATGGATCTAGAAAATATCATCTTGAGTGAGGTAACCCAGACTCAGAAGGACAAATATAGTGTGTGCTCACTCATTAGTGGATACTAAATGGGAGGGAAGGGATGGCTTGACTGCAACCCACTGTTCCAGAGAGGCTAGCTAACAGGGAAAGACCCTAGGAGGGACACATGGATGACCCAGCGAAGGAGAAGTGGATGAGATCTACAGGAGTGGACTAGGTGTCGGGGTGTGGCAGAGGGCGAGGAGTGGGGGATGAGAACATAGGGAAATGGGAGGATTGAGCTGGAACAGGGACAGAGTGGGAGGGCAGGGAGGAAGATACCATGATAGAAGAGAACATCATGGGAATAGGAAGAGGCAGGATACTAGGGAGGCTCTCAGGAATCCACAAGGTTAACTCCACCTTGGTCTGCTGGCAGTGGTCCAGAGGATGCCTGGACTGGTCTACTCTGGTGACCGGTCTAGCGAATAACCTAGCTGTCATCATAGAGCCTTTGTCCAGTGACTGATGGAGGCAGATACAGAGATCCACAGCCGGGCACCAGGCTGAGCTCCGGGAATCCAATCGATGAGAGAGAGGAGGGATTCTGCAGGCGGGGGACGTCAAGATCATGATGGGAGGACGTGCAGAGATGACCGGCCACACTAGTGGAAGCCTATGAACTGTGGACTGGTGGCTGTGGAGCCCCCATGGGACTGGACTAGGCCCTCTGGATATGGAAGACGGTTGTTTGACTTGAACTCTTTGGGGGTCACCCAGGCAGGGGGATCGGGATCTGTCCCTGGTCTATGGGCAGGCTTCTGGGAATCCGGTGCCTGCAGTGGGACGCCTTGCTCATCCTTGGTGCAGTGGGAAGGGGCTTGGACCTGCCTAGGCTCAGTGTGA